TATATATATATATATATATATATATATATATATATATATATATATATATATATATAGCTAGTTGAGCACCGTGGGTGAGAAAAACAGCACTTCAATTCAATCTCGAGAAAATTGGAGACGGTGTATTGTACTGCTTGGCATTCGCAGGTAGTGCTGTTCTGGATCAAAAGGATGGCTGCTGGAAGAGCTTATGTCTGGCAACAGGACTCTGCACCATGCTACTCAAGCAGGAGAACTCACTCATTGCTGTCATTCAGTTTCTGCGACCACATCACTCCTTACATCTGGCCACATAACTCCACCCACACTTCAACCTCCTTGATTATTATGTGTGGGAGAATTTAAGCGAGGGACCAACTCGTTCTAACATCAAAAATGGCAGCATTCACCAACTTAACAATCAGACCGTTCAGAAGACATGCAGGAGATTCCGAAGTCGTCTGGAGGCCATGGTTGAAACCAATGGTGATTTTATTGAAGAGATTTATGCTTTAGTATTTCAAGATATTTTTGTCAATTTTGGTAAATATATGTTAAAATAAGTTGTCCGTGTTATTTTCAATTTTTGCGTAATTTAGACGACAATTTATCTATCGCATCCTGTATAACTTCCTTTGAAGAGCACATTGATGAATGAAAGTGACAGTTACGATGCAGTGTTGATTCTTATGTCCACAATCTATCTGTCTTTCTCTGTCTCTGTCTCTCGACATATATATGTTTGTATTCCGGTTTTAGTAATTTTCCAGCAGATTTATTTATTAAATTTTGGTTTATCTAAATTGTACTGTTTGTTAATTTTTTCATGAATGTTGTCTTTGATGAAGGTTTTTAATTTTCCTATGTATTTATCAGTGTCTTTTACAACAGATCAACCAGCTTTATCGAATGGGGTTAGACTTATTTTACTGTTTTTTGATCGATTATGTAATGCATTCAAAAATTCTTTCTGTTTAATGCAAAAAAAAGTGGCTCAGATTGCTATCTGTTTAAAATGCAATCTGATTGGTTGATAACAATCACGTGATCAGGCATAGTAATTTATGCATCAAAAACTGATGGTCATAAAATTTTCTTGTTGAAAATTTTTTTTAAAAAGACTTTTTCATGGAAAAATTTTAAACATTTCTTACTTCAGGTTACTAATTTTATAATCTAAAAGGTTATGTAGACAAAAAGTTATAATCCGAATATTTTATTGAGAAATTGACATTTTTATAAAATTAGGCGTTTTACACTTGATCAAAATTATAAGACCAGAGAAAAAATTCTACGAAATTGTACGAAAAGTGTAGGAAAACATTCAACAACCAAATTTAATAATGAGTTTTACCTCCACTGGTTTTGATGACTTCAAAAATTCTTTGGGGCATGCTAGAAATTAATGTTTCCATTAAGCTGCGAGGAATATTGCTTCAGCTTCTGAAGATAGCTTCACGAAGTTCATTTTTTGTTGAATATTCTTTACCATTTCGATAAACATCTCTTGCTATCCATCCTGAAAAAGTTTTGTCTACATAACCTTTTAGATTATAAAATTAGTAACGTTAAGTAAGAAATGTTTAAAATTTTTCCATGAAAAAGTCTTTTAAAAATTTTTTCAAGTGGTCTTAAATTTTTGATCAGGACTGTATCATGGTTCACTGAGCTAGGCGAATGACAGAAAAGTATTAAATATTTCAAGTATCAGGAATTCTTTTGTTTATTGTACTTATATATATATATATATATATATATATATATATATATATATATATATATATATATATAAACATAAAACATTAGGCAGCATATAATTCACATACAAAGAAATAATCACACAGAATCAATCAGAAGTATTAATGCGATTATTGGCGACATCCATCGTTAGAAAAACATAATATATGCATTAAAATACTGTTCATCCATAGTGCGAGTTGATCCTCGTCGATAAACTTGTTGTCTGTAGTTTTCAGTTTATTTGATGTTAAAATGCTAGTACTTACGAATAGTCCTATTCATCATCAGGCATGCGTTTTTTTTTTATAAAATCAAAAACTTGGAGACGATATATTGTATGTCGACCAAAAGATGTTTTTTGAATATCTGCTATTATTGACGGTTGTGTAAGATCTCGAACGTGCAAAGACGCAACGCTAAGTTTTTCAAAATTTTAAGTGAGAATTTTATTTAAATATTTCTTGTGATGTGTTAAATCCACGTATTCTATTTTTACAAGTGTATTCAGTTTTTTATTTTATAAGTATATAGTTCAATAATATAGTGTAATGTCTTGGTAGTATTTTTTTTATAGGATTTTTTATGTACTGATAGTTTTTATAAACATAAAACATTAGGCAGCATATAATTTACATACAAGAAATAATCACACATAGAATCAATCAGAAGTATTAATGCGATTATTGGCGACATCTATCTATCTATCTATCTATCTATCTATCTATCTATATATATATATATATATGTGTGTGTGTGTGAAAAGTGTATATAAATATAATAAATACATATATATATAATTATTTATATATTATATGCGCGGTACTTATTAGAAAGCGCTCAATATCAGAGATAGAACTAAGATATTTGGTTGGATAGATGTGAGTTTGCATCTATCTAACCATACCATATATATATATATATATATATATATATATATATATATATATATATGTATGTATGTATGTATATATATATATATATATATAATTTTATTCTTAATATAAAATATTTTAATTATATTCTTATTTAAATTTAATATAATTTATCTAAATATGAGTTTTTTGTTATTATCTCATTTTAAGTATAATTTGTTATTTTTTAAGTAAAAACCTAACTTTTTAATATATAATTAATTTTCTTTTATATAAAACTCCCTTTTCGACCCTCCTTTAGTTTCAAGTTAACACTTCATTCTTCAAATAAGCCCAGTTTAATGTCATAAGGCCAATATCCGTGTTAATTTTATAAAACCTCTTCCCTTCAAGGCTAATACCTTCAACCCTCCCCTTACCACTGACTGAAACGTCGAAATTCTAATTCCGACACGAACGCAGTCAATAGACCGGGGTTGAATAAGACTAACGAAGTTCTCGTTGGTTGAATTAGATCTATATCCCACAATATGAGGTAATTTTGGACTTTGTTGTGTAGCACACACACACACACACACACACACACACACACACACACACACACACACACACATATATATATATATATATACCTTCTAGAATGCACACTATGCCAGAAACAATATGTAGGAAAATATGAATGGCCCTTTGACTACAGAATTAATAATTATCGAAATCGAATTAAATCGACTCCCCATGAAAAATTATTACCTGTAGAACAACACTTCCGCCTAGAAAAACATGATTTCAAAACCCATGCCAAATTCACTATAATTGAGAGAATAGAAAAGTTCAGAGCAGATAACATTAGAAAGATTTTAGAGTCCCATGAAAATAAGTGGATACAACGTTTAAAAACACACTATCCAGCCGGGCTAAACCATAAATTTAACAATATAGATAGTATTAATATATAACTCTACAAATCAAAACCTACCCACATTTCTCACCCACACAAGACAGACATGCTTACGGAGGTGTTGAGGCCTCACACCTATACACACACCCACACGAACATACACACTTACACACATCATACTCACTCCCTAATGAGCCAAATGATAACACACACCCACAGCAATATACACGCTTACACATATTATACTCACTCACTCCCTAAAAACCAAATAACACAAACACACACACACTTAACAGAGACACATCCCCTCTCGAGGAACCAATAAAACTGTCAGACTGACCAAGGGAATTCAGAGAAGCATAGATCCATCCAGTTCTTATCTCAAATAACAACTTAAAAGAGACTGTTTGACCAACACAAGAAATGTTAAAAGATTCATGTTAAAAAGATAAAAAAACAAAAAAATGAAAACTACAGACAAAAGTTCATTTTCTCAATCAAGACATTCGTTTCTGTAGTTCACTGCTACCAGCAAGCAGAACATTTCTTCTCCTGATGATGGCCATGTTGGCCGAAACTAGTCGAGGAATCTAAATAAAATAATAATAATAAAAACGAAAGAATATTAATCTACAAGCCAGTGTGTCTGAAGATTTTAATTTTTTAATATTTTTTATTGTTCAATATATATATATATATATATATATGCTTGTGTGCGTGTTTCTGTGTATATGTGCGGTGTGTGAATGTCTAGGTCATATATATCTAGGGTGTGTCTATGGTATATATATATATATATATATATATATATATATATATATATGTTTACACAATAAAATCCCAAATTACCCCATATTGGCTGTCCTGGGTAAGACGATAAACTACGGCCTTTGATCAGGAGGTTTTACGGAGCGTGGAACCACCTCTTAATTGCTGGTGTTCCCAGGTCCTCCCTGACCCGAGGTTGTAGCACCTGTTAGGGTCCCAGCTATGGGCAAATAGTTAACCCCGATATTGGTGTAAAAACACTATGAATGTGTAATAAATCGGTCTTAATAGCAGAAATACTTTGTAAAAAATTATTACCAGCAATAAATTTTGTCAGCATTAAATAACCTATTGAGGTTGATATGCCGTAAACCAAACCAAACCTCATATTGGGTGGGTGGGTATAGATCTATTTCAACCAGGAAGAATTGCGTTATACCGAATGCGATAGATAAGAAAATTGACGATCGTAGATTATACAAATTGACAAATACTTTGATAGCAAAAAAAAAAGGAAGGGTTAAAAATATTTTTTTATTAATTATTGACACGCTTTTCTTTGACCTTTATATATCTTTCATTTTGTTTTTTTATTACACTTTCGTATATAATTCCTTTTCAATTTCATTCTTTCTTTCTTTTTATTCTTTTCAGCTTGCGAGGCGAGCAATTGTTTCCTGCCTGACTGTCTTTGTCCCAGTTCGAAAATACCCGGAGGTTTTGAAGCCGAGGACACTCCAATGATGGTCATGCTCACCTTTGACGACGAAATCTCTGCTGCCTATTACGGATATTTCCAGCGCCTTTTCCGCCCAGGACGTTATAACCCCAACGGCTGTCCGTTTCGAGGAGCGATGTATGTGTCTGGCGATGGAACTGATTATAATTTAGTCTATCCAATGTATGCTATGGGCAATGAAATCGCCTGTCACACCGTTAGTCATCGATTCCCACACACTTGGTGGGCTAACGCTAGCTATGAAGAATACATCCAAGAAATCGTCGGAATGAGGGACAACCTTGTAGAATTGGCCGGTGTTCCACGCAAAGATATTAAAGGCTTCAGAGTTCCATTTTTGCAGCTTGGTGGAGACAATATGTATCAAGCTATCTACGATGCCGGTTTTGAATATGATACATCAATGTTTACCGGTCCTGTTTGGGAAGGGAGTGAGGATCCTGTTTGGCCTTTTACGTTAGACTTTGTTCCCGATCAAAAGTACTGCCAACATGGGCCATGCCCCACAAAGTCCTACCCGGGATTGTGGGAGATTCCAGTGAAACGGTGGTACGGTATGGATGGACATTCGTGTGCCATGCCTGATGGCTGCACAGTCTTGGCCACAGCCGAAGAGACCCTTGAATTCCTACGGAAGAATTTCTACCGATATTACAACAGCAACCGCGCTCCACTCGGGGTTTTCGTGCACGCGCGCTGGTTCCACACTGAGCATCACCTTGATGCCGTCGATATGTTCATCGACGAGCTGATTCAGATGGACGATGTCTGGATTGTGACCCCGAGTCAAGTAATCGAGTGGATGAAAAAACCGACTTCGATTTACGATATCCAGTTCTTTGAGCCGTGGAGCTGCGATGGATCAATGAAAGATGCGTCACGTAAAAAATGAGATCTTAGAATTAAAAAAAAAAAGTGAAAATTCTTATTAATATGTCTGAATTGATAAGTCAGTGTGCTTGTGTTTGCGAGGACATTTTGTTTTCGGTAAGAATATATTTGAAAGTGTGTTTAAATCATATCGGCCCACCAATTCAGATTAAGATGTTTTTTTCTGTACTCTGTAGTACTTGATAATTAATTGTGCTAACATTTAACAAATTTAGAATTACTAGCAGTATCCAGAAAAATGTCAAGGCTTTTTTTATTTGCATTTTCCGATGAATCAAAATTCTTAAGATCATGATTGAATAAGCTCCTTAGAATATTTAAGATAATGGTCGAATAAGCTCCTTAAAATTCTTAAGATAATGGTCGAATAAGCTCCTTATAATTCTTAAGATAATAGTCAAATGAGCTCCCATGGAATAACCATGGAAATTGCTCTGTTGCAATGTTTAATATTTGAGATTTACAGCTTTAGAAAGATATTGTAATAAAAGTCATAACTAAAGATGCTGGTCATTATTTACAGAAGTAAGAGGGTACAAATGAAAAGATTAAAACTGACAAGAGCGTTATTATCTCCTGTCGCTTCCCTTTCTTTCTTTTTAATTATTTTATGTCAGCACCATTTATATAGATATTGAAGCCCATATGGCTGGTGAACAATGTGTACCTCATATAATGATCAGTATATGCAGTCAAGCGAGATATACATTGCATCTCTCTCTGTGTCTCTCGCAGACATCTTCCCCCGGGATAAGATACCTTACGCCCCCACCAATCGCTAACACAAACACATTCTCATTAACAATGCGTCTAGCAGAAGAGGACTAACATTGAAAATAAATTTCAAACAATGGACAGACACTTAGGGGCTGATGATGGCCGCATATACAACGGCTTGAAATAGGTTATACTCTATATTGAGGTAATTTTTTCTGTAATACATACATACATACATACATATATATATATATATATATATATATATATATATATATATATGTGTGTGTGTGTGTGTGTATTTGTGCGAACGATAATGCCTATACCTGTATGTATGTATGTACGTCTGCGTAAGTTTAAATGTAATCCCAAAACAGACACAAAGGAGAATCCTCCAAACATAATCAAACACAAACTAAAAAAGATTTAAAATAAATAGATTTAAATAAATAGATCAAATTTAAAAAAAATAAATCAGCTTGTCTGACGATCGCAAAAAGCGTGAAACACAAAGTTACAAACTCATATCCATACGACTGAATACGTTACCTGTATCAGTGATATTGAGCGCTTTCCAATATATATAGAAATTATATATATATATATATATATATATATATATATATATATATATATATATATATAGTGAATATACATAATATCTAACGTCAATGGCACGAGTAGGAGTTTCCTGCAGTTCTTGCAATCTTCAGGTGCAAATATATATATATATATATATATATATATATATATATATATATATATATATATATATATATATATATATTTCTATGCGGAAAATGTCCGGAAAATGGTTATATAAATGAGTGTTCAATATACAATGTAAAACAGAGAAATCGAATGTGTAGATAAAATAATAAAGTCAAGAAATAAAACCACTTATGCTTCCATGGTTTCCACCGGTAAGGTTTCTTCACCCAGTAGAAGTTAACCATGGTAGCATAAGTGATTAGTATACCTTGACTTTTAACCTATTATTAGCCGACGCGTTTCGTCCAATCTGGACTTTTTCAAGGCAAAAATAAAATGAATTTATTGAAAACAAATTAACTAGTAACAACAAACAAAATGTCCTTAGCAACTAGAAGAATTTAGAAAACGCTATTGTATTCATATTGTTAAGTGAAAATTCCGTCAGTATGAAGAAAATAGATTAAATCGTACTAAAGTAATATAGTTATCACTGCTTAGGTTTCCATCAACTTTTAAAATTTTTCTTCTACCACCGCTTTTAATGTAACTCCTACACCATTACATGTCCACCACCACATTTTGCCATTTTTGTGGTATATCATACATATTTGTTTTTTCTCCATTGATCTTCATACATATTGTCTTGTGTTACTATGTAACTCATTTTTTGCATTCATCATTAAAATTTACTTTTTGCCTCCACTTAATTTGAAGACAATTTGATGGACGTAGGTCTTTACTTTTCGTAGAAACAATTACTTTTATTTCATGGGTGACTTTCGCAGGATTCCGCAATTATTTTCGATTATCCCCAAATTCATTTCGAAGTTATAAAAATTCTATCGTACTAAAAAGTTTGTCGCAAAAAATCACGTAAAAAAATCGCTGAAAACAATTACGGTAATAAAACCTTGGGAATCCAAAATTTCTAGAACATGAGAGAGAGAGAGAGTTGTGCCCCTTTAATTGAAAAAGTGTGACACACTGACATTCGCATTTATTATATAGATATATAATTTTTTTTAATAATTTTTATTTAAAATTAAAAAAAAAAATAATTGAAATTTAAAAATTCCCTGCATCCCTTGTAAGTGCGCATGCGTAGCTGCACGAACATTACCAATTCAATCTGATGAAGTCTTAAGGGACGAAACACGTCGATTAAAACCTTTTTCTAATTTGTCATTTTTAAATACTTCCATCTTTTATTCAGATGTTTTTTGGTTAATGACTTTTTTTTCAATTTGGTTTTCATAATATTCTGTGTATGAAATCATTTGAAAACCTCACTGCTAAGACTGCATTCCATTAATCACTTGAATTCTAAATTACCTACTGAGATTTTTGCAATCTTTCTTTCATTTCTCTTCTCTGACTTTTGAGGTTCCGGTTTCTTTGGACTTTCAGTAGTACTCAAAGAATTTTGGATGGTTTGAATGCTGTTTCTAGAAATACCCAGTCACTTAGGTATCTCTAGTTATACAGTCATCTGAAAAGGCTAGGACACCACCAAGAAACTTTTGTCTATTTCAGAATATTTAAACAAATGGACAGTTGGTCTTCACTTATATTGTTTACATTGTTCGGGCTGTTATCCTCATCTTTATTGCCATATTCACGACGTTTCGACCGTTGTACGCTCCAGCCTTCTTCAGGTGATTGAAATTTGGACTTGAAACCTTTATTTCGTCAACGGAGGTAGATTATTCTAGTCCTACGTGGCATGCCTTCACTACCAGTCTATATCTCTGAGATGAGGTATTATGATTATATACATTATTTACATTATTCGGACTATTATCCTCATCTTTATTGCCATATTCACAATGTTTCTGCCGTTGTACGCTACGGCCTTCTTCAGATAATTGGAATTTCGAACCGAATCCTTTATTTCGTCCACCGGGGTAGATTTTTGTAGTTCCGATAGAACAATAACTGAGACACCGTTGTCTTTAGCTAATTTTCTCATTGGCATTCTTGGATTACACTTTCTTTTTTTTTTTGGTTAATGAGCTTTGGCGTTTTGGAGGTGCAGAGACCTCCTGGTCTTGGTCTCTCTTTGATGGAACAAGTCTTGTTGTATCGATCGATTGTCCTTTTGATAATCATTCTATTGATTCCAAGTTGTTTTACAGCTTTAAAAATCTCAGGTGGAGTCAGTCTGTTTTCATGTTGCTCAATTTTATATCTTCTTTTAAATTCTATAGGCATCGTTACTAGCAAATACTAAAACACTGTAAAGACGAAATAGTATACTTTGTTGGTTCAGATATAAAAAAAAACAATGTAATAAGCAAAAAATACGCTATATCAGTGGAAGAAAAGCGCTCAGTATCAGACACAGGGCGCATATTAATATAAACAGTGCAGATATTTGTTTTTGATCAGTTTCACCCCATGCAAGATAGCAAAACCACTAAGACAAGGAGTTACTAAGTGATCAAGAATTAGGAACAGAAACATTAATAATGAGCGGGAAGAGAAAAGAGTAATCAGGAGGACAGTAGATAGCGATTGACATTACATTAAACTTTTTGCAGTTTAAAGTTGGCTGGGAAGCATAGAGCCGGAAGGGAGTTCCACAAGTAAGGCAATAAAGCTACTAAGACACAAGGCAATACACAAGGCAATACAGGGAGTGGAAGAATTAGGAACAGACACATTAATAATGAACAGGAAGAGGAAAAGTAATCAGGACAGTAGATAGCGATTGACACTGCATTTAAATTTTTGCAATTTAAAGTTGGCTAGAAAACATGAAGCCGGAAGGGAGTTATATAAGTAATGCAGTAACGCCACAAAGACACAAGGGGTTACAGGGAATTAGGATTGACATTAATAATGAACGGGAAGAGGAAATGATTATTCAGGTGGACAGTAGATAGCGATTGGCATCGCATTTAAATTTTTACAAATTAAAGTTGGCTGGAAAACATGGAAAACATGGAGCCAGAAGGAAGTTTCACAAACAAGAAGTGCGAGAAAAGAACCTGTCAACATAGAATTTAGGGTTACATCTAGCCAGCCCAACTGAAAATTGATGAGATCTTGAATTCTAAAAGTCTAGGTACCACATTGAAGGGCGATATTTATTTCCGTTTTAATACAGAAAATGTGGCACAAGGCCAAAAAGGGGAATGGGGAAAAGGACGGTCTTGTTCTGTCTTAACTTTAAACTTAGCTAGCCAGAAACACTGACCCAAACATACCACGATGAAAACAACGCATTCTTACTTACCTTTCTTACTACATTCACCATAATACCTCATTGTCTCTAAGAAAGTCCTAACTAGTCCCCACATGTACAATTCATGTCTGGTGAGAGGGATATAAAAGAACAATTTAAAGACTAGCCCCAATGTGTATTGACAATATGAAAAATCGATTTGCAAGAAAACAAACAAAATAATATTAGTAAAAACATCCCACCCAACATTATTTTCTTTAATAAATTTATTCCAAGCAAGGCGATAATGTCATTAAGTCACAGGTTGTTACTGGCAGTTAAAGACAATGAGAAGACGCTACTTACGAGAAAACACATTAAAAGAACAAGGTTCAGGTAGACAAAAGATGAAGATTGATGTTGCATTTAAATTTTAGAAAATCGTAAGCGGCAAGAAAGTAAGAAACCGGAAGAGAGTTCCACAGGTGAGAGGTACGAGAAAAGATATTATCAGAATAGTACTAACTGTTACACGTAGCCATTTCAACAGTAAAATGATGAGACCTAATTGCCAATCAAGTAACACGTTTAAGTTCCTACGGCTGAGTTATCAAGCGATAATTTATTTGTAAAAATTAAAAAATGTGGCACAAGACCCATCTTCATCTGTCTTAAATTTAAACTTTGCTAGTCACAATCACTGACCCAAATATATCAGAATATTCCTAACACTAAAATGACGCATTCTTACTTACCATTCTTACTACATTCACGATAATACCTCATTGTCTCTATGAAAGTCCTAACTAGTCTTTATGTGTAAAAATTCATTGTCTGTGGAAGGGAGGGGTATAAAACCACAATTTAAAAATCTAAATCCCAATGTGTATTTACAAAACCACAGTGAAGAGCAATTACCATGAAAGTATTTATAGAAAAGGCAGAGCGAAGCAACCATAAGGCAGCGGGAAATATGCAGACAGTCTGTTTCATGTATGTATGTGTCCGTGTGCATGTAAAATCTTTATTGTATATATTGTCTATTACTTTCATTTCTTAATCAATATTGATGTAACCTCTTTAAAGTACATTAAATGCATTTTATTTAATTCTACGGGTTTTCAACGCATTGTATCATGAACCTGTTCGTAACGGATTCAATCTTCAGAAGACAACTCCATATGAATGGATAAACTTTTCACTCGTAAATCTTGGAAGTCATTTCCAGGAAATTGTTTTGTGTCTGTGGAAATCGAATCTTATCAATAAAAAATCATTGCCGACATGATTGTTTTTTGATTTGTTTTTTTTACCGTTTCTTGTTTTAGCAGAAATCGATACAAAACAGGAATGAACAAACATTTCCGAATAAAAGACGCCAAAACCTGATTATGAAAGTATGCAACAGATTTCTGTTACAAAGGATAGACTGGGGCAGCAAAATCATTCTCTCCATATAACTTTGCATTAGTTAAAATACCTGGTTAACAAAGCTAGTCTCCTTGACCGTTTCTAGAGTGTTATAGAAACCCACTGGCATTGGCTTCTTCATACAAAGTTGATATTACATCATCCTATCTATCTATCTATCTATCTATCTATCTATCTATCTATCTATCTATCTAATACACACACACACACACACACACACATACATATGTCGGAGTTACCTCCTCCTTCAAGTTCGTAACCCTTTCACCAGAGGTCTCTCTTTCCTGGCTATAAATAGCCAATGACCCTTCGGCTCGACCTCTTTTTCCCTTTCAGGCCTGGGCACTAACACCCCGAGGTAAATTTCTCTGCTTCCTCGAGGACTCTAACTATCAACCTCGAAATGTAGTCGCTAACAAGGAATAGCGTGCACACACGCACGCACACACAGAATATTCACACACACACGCACGCACATACAGAATATTCACACACACTTTGTCCTTCGTACTGTTTCCCTGTATTGTAACTTGTTATGAATATATATTTTGTTGTGTATACATATATTATCGGTCTTGTGTTGTTTGCTTTCTTTTCCTTCTTCTTTGGACTTAATCAAAGTCCAACCTTTTATGTAGTTGGGCCCGGCGAGCAGGAGTATCTGAACCATACAGGCGTTTTTCGTCCACGTCTGACTTCTCTCAACAAACCATAACCACCAACATAACAGCCACGGCCCCACTACACATACATACATATATATATATATATATATATATATATATATATATATATATATATATATAATAAATGTAATATAATAAAAAAATAATTATGTTACTTATGTCAGTTCCATCTTGGTTCAAAACATCGGGCAGGACATTTTAATGGAATAACTATTATGTTTATTATATTTATCTTAATATGTATCATTGTGTATATTTATGTGATGCGGTATGTATTTATTTTTGTATTTATTTATTTTCTTTTTTTTACCCCCAAATTTTTGAAATTTTACTCATTTAGATTTTAAATTTTAATTTATATGTATATGTATGTATATATATGTGTATGTATGTGTATGTGTGTATATATATGTGTATATGTATATGTGTGTGTATATATATATATATATATATATATATATATATATGTGTGTATGTATGTACTTAGCTGTGTATGTATGTGTGTATATATGTAGGTGTGTGTATATAGGTATATGTATGTATGGATGTATGCGTATATATGTATATGTATATTGATGGATGGATATATATGTAGATGGATGTATGTAGATGTGTGTATATATGTGTGTGTATGTTTTGGTATGTATGTACACATATATATCTGTATATGGGTGTATATGTACGTATATATGTATGTATGTATAGTTAGACGGATAGATACAGGGATACATAGTTGGGTGTGTGTAATTGTATATATGTGGGTAAATGTGTATATATATGAAGGACTTGACGTGTATGGATGTATGAGTATTTATGTATGTATGTGTGTATGTATTTTTGTATGTATATATATATATATATATATATGTGTGTGTGTGTGTATATGTGTATATGTGTGCATGTGTATGTATTTATGTATATGTATGTGGAAAGTGTGTGTATATGGATATGGGTGGATATATGTGTGTATGTATATGTGTATATATGTGTATGTGTGTATATGTATATATGTAGGTGTAATTATTTGTATATTATATGCGCGGTACTTATTAGAAAACGCTCAGTATTAGACATAGAGCTAACATATTGAATCAGATATATGTATATATATATATATATGTATGTGTGTGTGTATGTATGTGTATGTGTGTATTTATGTGGATATGTGGATATATGTGCATGTGTGTACATGGGTACATGTATGTGTGTATGTGGATACACGCCTATGTGTATGTATATACGTGTATATATTATTGTGTATGTGTGGATTTGCATGTGTTTTTGAACATAAAAATATAGGTCCTTGCTAGATTAGATAATCGTTATATTTATTCTTTATATGTTTATATTTGATTTGTAACCTGTAGTCGATATTAAATTTGTCAAATTTTCTCAATTACACAGCGGCCCTTTCAGTAAATGTCCTTCAATTCTGGTTTTCCCCCGCCCCATCTCTCTCCCCAACCTCTTTTTTCCTTTTCTCTCCCTCCCTCCTATTCTGATCTGTAACATTAAATCGTCTATGGTGTGTGTATGTCACCACGAAATATATCTTTAATGTATTAGACATCCGACAACATTCATATTTCCCCCTTCCACTCGCCTCTAGTTAGAAAAAACCCTCTCTGTTAAGTTTTAGTCTCCCACCTTCTCCGTCTATTACCCCTCTCTTTAACACTAACATTCGTCCCACACTCTCATACTTACACTCTCTCTAAATTCTATTTTTATTTCCGGAGTTGTTTTTTTCTGTTTTCTTTTTGAATTTGTAGGTCTGATGAATTGGATCGTATTTACGATTCCAATGGAATAAATTATGACCATGGAATATTAGTGTTTAAGCCTTTTTATTATATCCTTACTCTGTCCTGGACATTGAGTTCTACCTGGATTCTTCCTTTTGGAATTTTTATTCAAAAAATATATATGTATGTGTATGCACCTGTATATATATCTATATATTTTGCATATGTATGTGTATATTTACCACTAATATTATCTATCTATCTATATATATATATATAATGGATAAAAGGTTAATGGTCAAAGTTGAATCAGACCAGGAAACAGTAGCATTAAAAAGTACTCAATACATGTGTGAAAAAATAAAATAAAATAAAAATAACTTGTAGAGCTTTTAATTTTGAAAATCAGGAAGCCATTTGAATCCGCAACCTTCGTTTCAACCTTACGGCGATTTTTATCAAATGACCTCTTAACTCTTTATTTTTTTTAAACTAAAGAACGCGACATTATATATATATATATATATATATATATATATATATGATAAAGAAAAGATTTGATTAGTCATCATATAATCGGTAATAAATTTATTTCAATAGTCTTGTATATATATATATATATATATATATATATATATAAAGGTAATAAATCCGTTGGTATATAATCCAAAATATTAAAACTGATCCGCAAAAAGAGCTCCATGTATTTATTATTACAGAGCAAAAATTAATACACAATAAATAAAATCGAAAAACACTTCATATGCGGAATAAGCTTATTTCGATTGATGAAAAATATAATTCGTCAGTCTATTTCAACCCCGGTATGGACTGAGTTCGTGAGCAAGTGTGTGTATATATATATATATATATATATATATATATATATATATATATAAAAGATATGTTTGGTGGTACAAAATTTTAGCACCGCCATAAATAGACAAAACTTCGTTTTATTTCCACTCATGATAATAAAAAGTAAAAATGAAAAAAACAGCTAGCTAACCGGTTTCGTACCTCGCTTAACAGAGCTAAATCGAGGTAAATAAAGTAAATTATATAAAAAGAACAATGGACAAAGTGTATATGGGGGCGGGGAAGAAAAATATTTAAATGGTAATTAGTTAGAGGCTTAATATAAAGTCCTTCTGTTTACAGAGAGACGGCTTTAATGATAGAATATAGATGGCCTCCAAGACATTTAGGTGGTAATTTGAGTGGGACTTGCTAAGGATGGTAAAAGCGTCTGCAATAAAACCAAAAGCACAATTATGGCTATTTATAAGGTGTTCTGCGATGGAAGACCCGTATGTATTAGTCAAAATGTCTGAGGGAGTGTACTTAAGGTTTCGGATTTTCGATGGAACGTGTTCTTTTATTCTAACATCTAGCTTTTGCGTCGTTCTCCTTCTGTAGTGCGAACCGCAACCACATTTAAAAGAATCAATTAATGAACTATTATGATGTGGAGGGAGAACATCCTGACGCATAGACGGGCGGACAGGCCTGGCAGAGAAAACAACACGAGTGTTAGCGGCAAAGTAACCATGTCGAACTGCGGTAAAAACCCGCTAAGCAAACCTATCACTGATACTACCTAGCCAAGGAAGGCCTAGGTACACAGGACTTCTTATATATATATATATATATATATATATATATATATATATATATATATATATAATTATTTATTTAAAAAAATTTATAACATAAAATATGTTATAAAATCACTACAAAAATAGCCATTTTTTCAACACCCTCGGTGTCTTATCAAGTAATGATGTTGAGTGTAAAATAAATGGTTTTAAAAGTTTCAAATTATATATATATATATATACACCTGTCGACTACATTTTATTAAATGATATGACTTCAGCCAGACAATTTGATAAAGTGTCAGACTGTTTATATCTATCTATCTATCTATCTATCTATCTATCTATCTATCTATCTATCTATCTATCTCAGTCTATTCATATCTATCTATCTATCTATCTATCTATCTATCTATCTATCTATCTATCTATCTATCTATCTATCTATCTATCTCAGTCTGTTCATATTCATTCATTCTATCTATCTATCTATCTATCTATCTATCTATCTATCTATATCAGTTTGTTCATATCTATCTATCTATCTATCTATCTATCTATCTATCTATCTATCTCAGCCTGTTGACATTTATATATTTCTGAGTCGTTTTTTTTTGTTTTTTTTTTTATAAATCAGTTCCCCGAAAAGGAGAGACGATAAAACCATTATGAATCAAGGGTTGTTACTGGTGGGAAAAAGAAACCTAGAAACGGCTTAGAATATCTAGAGATGACAGACAGAAGATAAAGATAAAGCTGTTGCATTTAAATTGTCAAAAATCGTAGACAGGAAAACAAAAAACCGGAAGAAAATTCCACAAGAAATAATTTTCCAAGAAGAATCCATTAGTTCTGACATTTTGTAATTTCAACTGTAAATGGACCTATCTGCTAATCTAGTATTCGTCAAATCGAGGTACTAATGACGCAACCTCATCAGATTACTATAAAAAACCTGCCTAATACCATTAAATGTCAATACAGTAAATTAATAGTGTGACTTTCATAAATTAACAGGAAGATTTCAATTAACGAAAGTCACAACTAGAAATTAATTTTACTTTTAATTCAGCAATGATCCAGATTTTCTTTGATCTAAGGGAAATAACTCTATTTTGAGTTATTTCCCTTGAATTAACACCTGACTCAATTCTGTTTCTTATTCT